GGCAGTGTTGCGTCCGTTGACAAATCCTGGATGTAAGCTCGCTGCCCCAAGGGCTGAATGAGTGAGAAAATGCTCAATTTCCCCCATCCACGCTAAGCAGCATGGATGGGGGCTATTGTATTTTGACACCCAGCACCCACTACTGCCAGAGTACCTGAACAGTGATTGCATCTGATTGGCTCTAGTCACTATTCTGCTGAAAATGTTTGGCCTGACTCCTTCCACAAAGTCAATCTACAAATCGACTTTTGTTTAACAGAATGGTGCCGGCATGGCTGCTCAGATTTCAGCATAGTCAGCAGGACTCGGGTGAAATTCGAGCAGGTTATGGCCAGCTTTAAGATCCAAAGGAGCTCCACAGGGAACGATTGGAGGCTTATCATGACTTCCTGAACTCCAGCACTTTTACCAAGTTGGGAAACTCTTAATTACTTGACTTGGCCATTCCATGTCTCCAGATATTTCAGTCCAAAGGAAAACAAATCCGTTGCTTCTGTCAGATTCTAGTTCTCATTCAGTTTGCCCCATGCCATGTTGGCAAGTCCTAGGTGACATTAGATATTCAGCTGTATAGTGATATGTAGTGCTTTTTTGTTTTGTTTTTGTCTCGTTGCTTTATTTTCGCTGCTTCTTTATTTTTGAATGTTTCTAGTAACTATGATATAGCTTCAGAAGTTTGTGACTTACCCGATGGCTTCACTGCGTTTTCCAGTTAATTGTATCCATAAGGCCCCGTTCACACTGAGCGATTTATCGCGCTCTAATGCATGTCAATGGTGCTCTGTTCGTCGCGCGTCGCTACAACAGAACCCTTTTTGGAGCGGATCTCGGCACGATTCTACTTTGCTCAATGCAACCATTTGCGCAATATCGCGCAAAATGATAATCGCAATTTGCGGTACGATCAGTGATTGGGGCCTTAGTGTATGTATATTCAAAACCTTTACTGCCCTGTCAGGTTTTTGTTTTTTCATTTGCGGTCTGTGTGCTGTTGGAGATTTGCTTCATTCTTGTCACACAACGGAAAGCAAGAGGAATGGCTTTTGCCTTTAGAAGAATTTCGGTGACCGCCTTCAAATTTTGGACCAACTGTCACTTTCTATGCGATGACATTGGTTACCAGGAGAAATAGGGTGAATCTTCTAGACTATTGGCAATAAATACCTGACCATGGTCTTTACCCCTTCCCATTCTATCTAAAACTAGACAAAAATGTTTTGGTAATAGATATACTTTTAGGAAGGATCTCTAGGCACTGGAGCCTGCACCTTCAACTTCCAGTTGGTTAACCTTTCCATTCTTGTTCCAGTCTTCCGCTCTCCCATTTTCTGATCAGTTGCTTGAGAAATACCATTCATATTTACTTTTTGACAGGTGAGCTGTAGGATCATGGAGGGTACAGTAGAATGCTTAGTTCACCTCTAGGTTATCTGTCATAGAATGCACGTGGAATACGTTTTTTTCTTCTTAAATGAGCAATTCGGCATTGGGTTCCCCCATCTGAGTAGAAACTGATAGGATATCAATTTTGCTCATGTGGCTTTGTTCTAATTTCAGTGCCCCTGAATGTCACAGATGTTTGTAATCTTACCCAGCCCCATGTTCCCTTACTTGAGCTGCTAGCAGAAAAACAAAGATAATGTCTGGATTTGTTGACTTCTCTTGACCCAAACGTCACAGAAATACTGAGAAGTGCTGCAGCTGAATTACATTTTTCAATGGGGGTTTATTTTAACTCCAATGTGGACTAGTTTTTAAAAAGCCTTTCATGTAGCAATATAGTGGGGTTCCTGGGACCCAAAACTGTTTCAGCATTGCCATAGGTGTTACTGCTGGTCCGAATAGGAACAATTTTTTTGTAGACTTTCTTTATTAACGGCTTGTTCACACCAAGTGCAGAGCAGTTACAGAATGCATCCAATGTATTTCAATGGTATTTTGGGCTCTAGTTCACACCCCAGCGTTCAGTTCCGGTGCATGTGGAAACACTACTGCAGGCACTTTTTTTTTCTGGCTCTGGAGCACACCAAAACACACTGGACTACACCTGAAAGCCAATTTTAGGGTTTAAAAAATAAAACAACGGACCAGAACATGTAAAAAAAGAAAGTGCATATGCAGAAACTCATCCAGATCTGGTTTGGATTTGGTGTGAACAAGCCCTAAGGGCTTGGTAAAACTTTAACCTAATGTGTGTTGAGGGTGCTGGACAAATCCCAGTAGCTAGGTAGCCAATGCACCTTAAAAATGACAGTTGGTGTCTGACGTTTGAGGTTTTCTCTGGTGGTGGGCAATGGAGCTGGCTCCTGGATTAGACAGACTGGCTCCTGAATTCAGTACTTATCTGTCCACCCCTGTGTTAAGAGTTGAGTATCATTTTGTTTTACATGGTTCTGTCATCACCCGTGTGTTTTTCATGTGAGACTCCATTTTATATCATTTTCAGGGCAGGGACATTGCCAGGATGTCTGCGAGCTCTACTGAGGGTTCTTGTCTTCTGCTCTTTAGAGAAAGAGACGGGCCTTCCAATGAGCTCCTTATACCGAAAGCCCAGCTCTAGCCAAACCAAGAGTAAAGCTGGCCATACACTACTTAGATTTTTGAATGAAATTTTGTACAAAAGAACTTTTCTTTTGACTTTCTATTAGTTGATGGGGTCAAATCGACCGATTTTGACCATAGTGACAAAGATGAAGGAGCTGGATGGAAGATGTTTCTCTATTAACCGACATTCTCATGTGGTTTTCGTTCGGGGAAACTCCTTTTCATTCCAAAATCGAATGTTAAGATCAAATTAAATTTTGTTTGTCAAAGTGTCTGATGCCATTTACGGGTGGTAAAGAAAGCTCTTCCGTTTGGAAGTCTACTGGTGTGTGGCCAGCTTTAGGGAAGGTCTCCCTATTTCCTGTCTGGACAGTAAACGAGGGGTATTGCCTCTGCACCTTAAGGGTTTGAGACAGCAATACAAACCTGTTTTCTAGTAGAGTCATGACGGTTTTAAAATGCACATCCAGATTTGGCTGTATGTTCCTGGTCAGTGATGAGAAGTATGGAAATTAGTGAGAGCCAGTCAGCGGTTTTAAAAAGCTTGGCAATGGCACCTCAAATTTCGATCCATTAAAAGTTTAGGTATTCGCAACATTGGCATCCAGTGGCACTTTTACGCACCGGGCTAGTTAAATACTGGTTCTTTAGTAACCCTAGAATGAGTTTTTACCACTGAGAACACTTTTATGGTTTGATAGGAAGGCAATAAAAGAATTTTGAGCCTATTCTCCTTGAAACTGATGGCACCATCAGTTGTTGGCTTTAGTTTCACTAAAGCCACAAACGTCTAATTTCTGGTCAGTTGTTGGCTGTGGAAAACGCACACAATTACGATTGTGTGATTTTTCCAAATTGGACTTTGGCATTATCTATAGGCTCTTGAGCTTATTCATGAATGCAGTGTGTTATATGGCGTAGCACCCAGTTAGAATTTCTTTCTTTAGTTTGACACAGGACCCTGCAAGCTGCTACTGCTGACCTCCCCTTTTGAAAATACTAGTTCCCTGATTGTCATCCCAATTTCAGTGTTACATACTTGGAACAAGTTTTAGATTACTGCTCCCTGATGGGCATCCTGGTTCCAGGTCATTGTCTTAGTATTGAAGCCAGGGTCAGTCGGGGAACTAGCAATTTTCAGATGGTCAGTAGTAGTGCAGGAATCATTTAAAGTGTATCTAAGGGCTCCTGTTTGACAGTCTTAATCGGTCCCAATTACAGTTAATATGTGATGAACAAGCCTTATAAAGCTAAAAACAACCCTTTCCGTCACCTGGCTCACAGTGGGAGGGTTTCAACAGCAGAGGCAGGCAGTGCTGCCAATTAAGAAAGAAGTGGGCAGGACTAGATGTAGGCTGGTGCTAGTTGACAAGCTACAAGTGAAAATGCTTATGGCTACACCCCCTGCAGCATCTTACCGCCATAACATTTTTTCTTATAGTGCAAGCAAGTGCTATTGACTTCAATGGACCGCCATGCCCCCTGCCGCCCCACAACAAAGTGAGCCGGCCGCAATGCAATCCAATGCGTTCTGGTCTCGTGTGAACGGGCCCTTAAAGCAGAACCCCATCCAATTTTTCACGTTTTTGATGGACCAGGGTTCTCGTGTTTTTATTCTGTTCATGTCCCTTTTCGGGAGTTCCACCCTTATCTTGTGTTCTATTTTCAACTGAACAAAGTGAGGAACAATGCAAAATTGTATGTATGTTACTGGAACATGAGTAAGTACGAAGGCTCCTAATGAAGAGACCTGTTCTGCTGAGAAAGTGGGATAACACTCAAACGAAATTAACGTTTTGGTGATGGTTTTACAGAATTTCTGCTCTTATGACACACACCGGCCAATACTTGCACTTTCCCTACCGAACCGAAGAGAATAAAAATCTATTTACTGTTAACTCTTGCTTTAGTATGTGTGCGTCTTCTTGGCATATACAGTAGGTCTTCGATCTGTCTCCTTAGACAGAACAATTTCCCAAAATTGGTTTTCAATTCTGCATGGTTTTGTCTGTTTCCTGTTGTAGTGATGTGGAAGATCGCATAAAGTGTCTAATCTGAAGGTCACTCAGCCAGATTAACGAGAGCGGACTAGTGTTGCTTAGATCCCTTTGTGTCACATTGACTTTTATCTACCTGTATGCACGCAGTCACTGATCTAGCATCACACTTCACTATAACGAACACAGTTGTAGCTTCTTTCTGTTAGAATTCGCTCACCACAGCAATAAAATGCCCAGCTGTTGTAAAGTCATTTGCTATATTCATTTGGAGCCAAGCTGAATCGTTGCATCTGTTGGATCTCAGCTGCAAGCCTGTCGGTGTCACCACCTGTCGCACACAGGAAGTCCTACCTTCGGCTGTGGATTCACTTTAGCCAGAACGTCTGAATGTAACTCTACACTGGAATCATACAGACTCTTGGGGCCAATGCCTTTTCCCCATTTCTTGTTTTACAGATTGCTGCTAAAATTGATGGAATACCGCATTTGAATAATGCAGGATCACTTGTGGACCCGACTGTGTATGGTTATGGCATCCAAAAGAGACCGCTTGATGACGGAGGTAACGTAGTCTGTTTCATTTTACTTGGTTTTGTCGCACTCTTTTCCAGCTTTGAATTTATTTTTTATTTTTTTACTGTATGTTCTTAAAGAGCAGTCCTAAAATGTTTCAGGTTTTGTTAAATGTTGAACTAGCACTTGTGTGCTAGTTGCTTTATTTCTTAAGAGTACCAGCAGAATGATTTCACTACTGGAGTCTTTGTCTGTTAAGGAAAATGGTCAGCTCACCCAAAGCTAAGGGCACATGCACACCAGATGCAGTGCGTTCCGGCCCGATTTTGGCCAGAACGCACTGCCTCGCATTGCTGTCGGCTCACTTTTTTGTGGGGCAGGAGGGGGCATGGCGGGCCATTGAAGTGAATGGCACCGTAGCCACGCCCCCCGACTGCAATGCGATCGGCCACATGGGATTACAAGGCACATTATGCCTGCAGCCCGGTGCGATCAAAATGCTGCAAGCACTCCTACCCCACAAAAAAGAGAGCCGGCCGCAATGCGAGGCAGTGCATTCTGGCCAGAATCGGGCTGGAATGCACTCCATCCGGTGTGAACGGGCCCTAACACTTGAGGTTTTGGAAGATCCTAGAGAGTTAAAGTATATCTAAACGCAAGAACAAATATGTAATGTATAGTAAATTAATAAATGTGTAATATATTTGATGTAATGTATTGTAGCTTACCAGTCCTCAGATGTGGAGGCTACATAAGGTTGTTTTTTGTTTTTCGTATTGCTTAGGCTAAATATATTTTCAGCAAGTGCAATCAAATACCAGTTGATCCTGCCAGAAATCCAATGTGCTTGTTCCTTCATATGCACTAAACTGACATCTTAAACCGGGTTATCAGCTCTTACCAGGTCTAGTCTGTAAATTATAGCACACCCCTTTCTAATGGTGATGAGGGCGGGGGAGGTGTTTCAAATCCAGATTTGAACGATTCCATTTTCCCAAATTAACTTGGGAAAGTGGACTTACCCTTTAAACTTCATCTCGAGGCATTTACACACCATGTTAAAAGAGAAACCGTTAATCTCCCCTTTCCCCAGCACCCTACTCCTAAAAGGATGAGTTTAACACTCGGGTACTCATCAAAGCCTCTGCTTTACGTTGCACTGCATTATGTCCCAAGGAACGTTGACTGCAGTATCTAAGGCTGGGCACACACCTTACAACCATCGCAAGACTTTTGTCTTGCGATGGTTGGAAGGTACTTAAAAAAAAACGTACCATCCGCCTATCTTGCATAGGCAGATCGTACTTGCGGTGATCGCAAGCCACGCCCCCTGAGGGACGGGCTTCCGATGACTGCAATGCCGAACGAGCAGTGGTGCGCTTGCGCACACCGGCCCGTCCGGCTTTTATCTTGCGAACATGTTCGTAAGTTTAAAGTCGTGCGACCTTACAGTAGTAGAGGTCGCACGGCTTCCACACACCTTACGATAATCGTACGATCGCGGGATTTCCCGCGATATCGTACGATTATCGTAAGGTGTGTGGGGACCTTAAGCCTCCTCTGTTGCTGCATGTCAATTTTACTCTGCTGTCCCTTGCCCGCATGTGCACAATTGGCTGCTGGGTTTAGGACCTGTGTGTATGAGAACCTAGAGAAAGTTTTTCCCTTAGTACTGCAGTGCACAAAGTATGGCTTTCCCATAGGAGTGAAAGGGGGCGCTGCGTGTATGCGCTCTTTTTCAGGAGAAATGTTGTAGTGCTCGCTGCAGGGCTATACTTCAGCCCGAGCCAAAGATCTTTACTGTATAAGTACAGTTGTCTCTTGAAGGAATCCACAGACGTAAGTGTAACTTGCACCCTACACTTGCCTTCTCTATAGCTTGACAACAGACAGCCTTGCACGTGTCATAAAACAGCCCGCTAAAATGTGTTGTGTATTAATGTGGTTGCCGAAGCGCTTGGTTTAGCTATACAACGCTGGCTTGTGTCCATAGTACACAGAAGCAGGGTGGTGGCAAAGGCCATCGGGAAGTTTGTGTAAAAGGCTCAAACCTTTTGTGGCACAAATCATTTCCTTATAAACAAACTTAGATTTCAAAGTGGAGCTCCAACCAAAAAGTTTAACTGTTGAATAGAGATTTGATTTAGAATTAGGTTTAGGATTTTTACAGATATTTTGTGCTGTCCTGGAGGTAAAATTCCACTGTGTATTCTTTAATGAGAACAACCCTTTTGGTGTCCAAAGGGACAGGAAGTGATGAAATTGTCCCAATAGTGCAACAGTGAAAACACTATTTTGGCTCTTACCCTACCCCGAAATTATCAGTTTATGAATACAGGCTTGTGTACACACTTTTGCACATGGCCCCCCTCTGCTATCCACCCAATGCTATATTAGCACATGGTATTGGTATTTTTTAGGGGTCCGGTGACCCAAATCTGATATTTTAGTTTTGTTAGACCTGTTTTATGCATGATTTCTTATTTGCACATCTGAACAACATTGGTGTTCTAAATTTGCTATAACTAAATGTCCATCTTTCCCTGAACCTGTCTGAAATTCCCTTTGGGGGGGAAATGTACCATTGGTTTAGAAACTGCCCTAAATTATGAGTCCTGATCTTTGTTGCACCAACCACCAACACCAAAAACATCAGGCAGCAATCAACCTGCTAGTTACTGGTCACTCTGTTTCTGTTTAGTAGATTGGCGCTTGATGTCAGGAATCTTAAGTGCTATAATTTTCAGTATAGTATTTCTTATGCCAAACGAAAAAAAAAAAATGACCCCAAATAGGGATGCACCGATACCGAGTATTTGGGCGAGTCCTGGTATTTTCCCGTCCTGGAACTTCCAGTTACAGGAAGCCGGACGGCGAGTCATTACACGCTGCCCAGCTTCCTGATTGGCAGGGAAGCCAGTTTCATGCTCCCTCGTCACCAGGGAGCATGGAGCAGCCTTTCTGACCATTACATGCTGCCCGGCTTCATTAATGGGACTTCAAATAGCGGTATTAAGTATTGGTTAGTACTGAAAAAAAATATCCATACTAGATACCGTAAAACCGGTATCGTTGCATCCCTAACCCCAAATATTCTTACTATATAAAGTAAACCTCTAGCAGCATCCACACTGTGTGCTGAAGTGCATCCAGCTCAGTGTGTCTGCCTATGTTTTGCCTTCCACTACGTTAGAATAAAACCCTTTCATTGTAAGAATATATCTTTTA